AACAAACGGTGGACATCAGTGAGCACCAGGCTGAGGTCCAGGCCTCAGGCCCCTAGGAGGCCCACATGGCAAGCCCTCCATCGCCTGGAGCATCTCTGCCTCTGATGGAAGTGCTGGTGCCTCTCTGGTTTGCCCTGTGCTTCCTCTCTCTCTCTCTTCGATCCCTCTTCCTGGTGAAAACGCAGAGAGACTGGAGCCAGCAAGGCCTGGGCTCAGACTCCATGTCCACCTCTTCCGAGCCGTGGGATCGGCCCCGAGCGGCTCCCCCTCTCTGACCTCCGTTTCCTCGTCCACACAGTGAAGATCCTGACAATGTCCATTGAGGGCTGAAGAATTGAACGAGAAAATGAACCTAGGTGCCTACCAAAGCGTTTTCTTTCTCTTTTTGTCTCATTTCTTTTTTCTTATCCCTTTGTTCCATTTAATTAAGAAAAATGTACCGAACTTTTGAGATACCTGACCGTGGGAGAGAGGGACCTGAGTCCTGGTCCCCACCCCTGGCCTCTGCCTGCATCCGTCCAATCTTCATCTTTTAGGATGCGGGCCACACCATCCGTCACCCTTGTGCCTCCAGACCGTGCAGATGCCCGGGACCAGGGAGTGGGGCAGCAAGCTGGGCACTGCAAAGCCCATCCCTCCCTCTTTTCCTCTGTGCCACCCCCCCCTCCGCCCTGTGACACTCTCTCCCTCGCTCTCCCTGCTCCTTCCCTCTGTCCTTCTCCCCCTCGGCTCCCCCTGCGGCTTCCCAGCTGCCAGCAGATGACATCTCCTTTCATGTTTGGGGCTGAGCGGGGCTTTGAATGTTCGTTTGATTCCGTTAAGATAATAGCTGGTTCACTGTCAGATGCAGACTGATCAGTTAAAACCTTAATCACTGCCTGTCTCCGCGCACCGCACTTATTTTTTAAGAGATTAATCCCCTCAGCCCTGCTCCGGCTCACAGTGGGCTTGGAAAAAAAAAGGCAAGGTTTGTATTGGCCTTGTTATTATTATTGTTATTATCGGCACCCTCCTTTCGCTGTGTATGGACGCCTTCCCTCTGCTTTCCTCCCCCCCCCCCCCCCCCCCCCCCCCCCGCCTCCTTTGGGTTTCCAATCTCCACCAGCTCGCGCTCTCTCTCTCTCTCTCTCTCTCTCTCTCTCTCTCTCTCTCTCTCTCACACACACACACACACACACACACACACACACACATACACACACACGCACACACACGCACAGCTGTGGCTCTCCAGGAAGGTAAGAGCAGGCTGAGTCTAGCCTGGTGGGGAGGCAGACATGTAAGCCTGAGGATGGGGTCAGGGGGCACCTCGCCTGGCCTCATGGGTGAGGGCAGTCTCTTGGGAGAAGCCAGCCAGGAGCGCCTCCAGGCCGGGACTGTGTCTGTTCAGCTCACTGCCCTCTCCCCCGGGCCTGGCATGGGGCCTGGCACAGCGTAGCTGTCCATCACTGCTGAACGGACGACGTAGGAAGAGCCACCGAGCTAGGTCCTGAAGGAGGGACAGGGTGTCCCCGGTCTGTTTTCTCATTTGTGAAGAGAGGGCTTGGACTGGAGTCCAAGGGCCCTTCTGGCTATCGGGGAATCCGTGCCCACTGACAGGGTGGGGGTGCAGACGAAGATACTGAGAATGGGGTGGGAGCAGGGTTGGGTGGTTGGGAGATGTGGGTGGGTGTGGGTCCCGGTCCCGTTACAGGCAGGGGCTGGAAAGGTCGGGGGCCCTGACGCATCGCCCCGGTTGCCTGCACCAGCGGGCGGCTGCCGGGGTTAATGGTATGACACCCCTGGCCCGATGGGCTCCCGATGCCTTTTCTAATTCGGCGAGCGCTGCAGATTAGAAGGCAGGGAGGAAGCGTCTTCCTCGCGCAGGTTATTATCCTGCCAGCTCCCCGGGCGCCCAGGGAGGGAGGCGGCGGGCTCTGTGCTCCCGGAGAGAAGGAAGCAGGGCCTGGCATTCTGGATCGAGGGCCCCTGGGGAGCGGGGAGGGAGGCAGGGCTGGTGCAAATAAAATGGATGCTATTAATGGATCTGGTGCTGGTTGAAATGGGAGCAGCCCTGTGGCAGCCGCAGAGCCGGTGGGGGAGGGGCTTCCTGGAAGTGGAACTCGGGAGAGGCTGCTGCAAGGGGCTCTGGGTTGGTTTCCTTTTCCTGAAGCGGAGGGCAGCCTGGCATGCTGGGTCCCACTGCCCTCTGGCCCGCTCCAAGCTCCTTAGTCCAGGCAAGGGCCCTGAGGTTGAGGTGGTGCCATCAGCTCCTCAGGGAAAGGCCAGTGCCTCTGGGCTGCAGGTCACATGGACCCTTTCTGGAGAATTCCATCACACACTGGTCCTGTTCCCAGCTCACACTGGGAGCACAAGAAGGAGGGAGAGGCAGACTGCGGGGGGGTGAGAAGGGGGAGGAACGGGGGAAGGATTGGCTATTCTGGTCTCAGAAAGGGGCCCAGGACAGCCCTCCAAGGCTGTCTCTACTGCTCCAGTCCCCCCTCCAGCACAGCCTCGTGAGGCTGAGGCTGAGTGGGGTCAGGAGGGCACCTGCCTGGGGTCCCGGAGTGCTGAGCTCTAGTTCTACCCTGACCCACGAGCTAGCGGGTGACCTCTGGCCAGGCGCCACGGCTCTCTGGGGTTCAGCTTCCCCAATATGCCCAGGACCTGAACAGGACGCTCTCTCAGGTCCTGCTGGGAGGCTGGGGCTTAGGGAGCCTGCCCCAGAGGTCATGCATGAGCTTCTCTGAGCCTCTCCTGCCCAGTCACCGCTGAGACTGGAGACAGGGCTGGGGCGGGGTGGCCGTGGGAGGGACCCAGCAGGGAAGGAGTCCTGGGGGGCAGGGCCATGCTGCCCAGGAAGCCTTGGGAAGCAGCAGTCCATGCTGCCACTGGGCTGTGGGCCTGCCCCCAGCGGCTGGAGGGGTGCCAGGGCCTGGTGGGCAGCCAGGGGCATCTGGTCAGTGGCAGCCTCGGGGGCCCTTGTCAAACCAGTGGACACTCAGGAGCCATTTTGAACATGACCTATGATATGATAACATTATCACCTTCATAATACATAACACACAAATAATACTAGTGGCCATAAAAGAAAACCAGGCCGTTAAAATGTTCTTTAACCTTGCAAAATTATACCAGTAAATAAATTCCAAATACAGGACATATTAAAGTACGGAAAAGACAAACGTAGTCAATAGCTTGAAATTATGCCTGTGTGTTTTGGGGGGCGGGGAAAAGGAAACACATGAAGAAAAGTTCCCCCAAAGTGGGCTCTGCGAGTTCCAGAGCGTGATTTGCATGGAGAATGGCAGGACCCAGGAAGCTGGAGTCTGTCTCTTTGTCTTTGCAACCACTGCGCGCGCTTGTTTATGTCCAAACCTACTGTTTGCACACAGGGATGTGTGGGACTACCGGAGCCAGCGCTCAGGACTCTGGGTGGTTACAGACTTGCTCTCGAAATGAAGTGTAGCGGGTTCTGTGTCTCCCTGGCTGACTGTATACACCAGAATTCTTCAAATAAACTGCCATGCAACTCACAATCTTTGTGAGAGGATAAGTAACAGAAATGCACTCATTTCAAACTGGTGTACATATTATTGGAACTTAACAGTAACCACAATGATTGCTTAGAACATAGTATCACAGTTTTTTGTTTTTTTGGGGGGGGCAGGGGGCCGGGCAGAGATATATATATATATATATATATATATATATATATATATATATATATATATATATATATATATATAAAATCACTGACACAGAATGTCTGGTTCATGCTGATAAGAAGGAAGCAGATGGACTTTTAGTCAGTTTTATTATTGTTTTAAAGTTCTCTGCAGACAATGAACCCTTTTGTTGCCTGCACCCAAGACAGACTGCTCCCCCCCCCCCCCGCCCCCTATTTCTTCACTGGGGTTTGTACATTCACAGCCCCAAAGTTCAGAAACCTTTGATCCAAACCTATCCCAATCCAGGCAAGAAAACAGAGGTAAACAGCAATGTGTTTTAATCATCTTAATCATCTTCAGAAACGTTGTTGTTGTTGTTGTTGTTGTTACTTAATAAATGTAAAGAGCTTAGCAAATCTCTAATGCAAGCATGTTGAACTCAAAGGCTAACCACGGGCCAAATAAACAAAGTCTAAGTGTATGTGGGCCACAAAAAGACAAAAGCGTCAGTTTTCATAGAAACTTAGGTTTATTTCTATAGAGACATGCTGAATACAAAGGGCTGAAATAAATGAGTCATCATTAACATAAATTAATAGAACATTTAAATGAAAATTAATATTTTTTTCTTGAGTATTAACTTACCAAACACTGAGTAACTGCACAAATTAATAAGTGTAATGCAAGTAAACCTATTTTTCTTGTTCTCTGAAAGCGAAATATTTCCTGTTGAGCACACCTAACAAGTCAGTCCAAGACTAACGACGTGGCAATCAGCTGCTAAAACATTCGCTGCTAGTATTAGTGGAGAGAAATGGTGCGCTTGTGTGTAAGGCATGTAAGGGAAATGAGCACAACATGATTATAGTAATCAGTCATTAGCAAACATTGTAGTTTGTTATTAATAAAGGCCTGTTGCATGAAAATTCATGCACTGGAGGGGGGTCCCTCAGCCCAGCCTGCCCACCTCACAGTCTGGGAGCCCTCAGGGGTGGGAGGCTACCCAGTGATCAGGGTAAGGAGACTCCCCATCACACCTCTGCTGCTGCCACTGCTGGCAGCACAAGCCTCGGCCAGCCCTAGTTACCTGAGCCTCCAGCCGCCCTGGGCGGCTGGGCAGCCACCATCTGAGGCTTGCCTGAACCTCAGGCTGGCCCTGGGCAGCTGAAGGGCTGAGGGGACTGGGTGCCGCCATCTTGTGGCTGTGGGTGCCATCATCTTTGAGGGTGGGGCAGCGAATTAGCATATTCCCTCCTTATTGGCTATGAGCGCTGCCATCTTTGTGATGGCGTGAGGGTCAATTAGCATATTCCCTTTTTATTAGATAGGATTATGTATAATAGAATATTATAAAAATTAAGAAATGAAACTTTTATTAAAACATTTCTTACATACCATTATATTGGCTGGGCTGCAAAAATATTCATTATGGACTGCATGCAGCCTGTGGGCCACGAGTTTAGCATGTTTGCTCTAATGGTGCCTATACCATGGTCTAGGTATTATGTCTAGTACTACGCATCCATTAGCTCATTTGATATTCACAACTATCTTGGGAGGTAGGTTTTATTTATTTATTTATTTATTTTAAAAATATTTTTTATTGATTTTTTTCACAGAGAGGAATTGAGAGGGATAGAGAGCTAGAAACATCGATGAGAGAGAAACATTGATCAACTGCCTCCTGCACACCTCCCCCTGGGGATGTGGCCACTACCAAATTATATGCCCTTGACTGGAATTGAACCTGGGACCTTTCCGTCCACAGGCCAATGCTCTAGCCACTGAGCCAAACTGGTTTTGGCAAAGGTAGGTTTTATTAAACCCATTTTATAGATGAGGAAAACTGAAGGGTTGCATATAGCTAGTTTACAGAGTTGGATTCAAACTCCAAAGCCCATGCTCTTAACCTCTAGTCTACACAATGGACATATAGAGTTTTCTGAGGGTTGAATGAAATGGTGCACGTAAGTGATTAACATGCAGTCAAGTGCATAATAAATATGATCTACACTAATAAAAGAGAAAGATGCAAATTGATTGTACCTCTGTGACACCCACCAGCCAATCAGGAGTGAGTATGCAAATTAACCCAACAAAGATGGCATGCTAATTTGCATACCCAGGCATGGAGTGAAGACTGAAGAGGCTTGTCTTCTCCACTGTGGCCAGAGCAAAGGTCTGGGTCCTGGGTGCTGGAAGACCTATTGCATGAATCTTCGTGCAACAGGCCTCTAGTAATAATAATAACAACAAAGGGTATAATCATTCTAAAATAATTATATTCTATAAAACTATGAAGTGCTTCCTATTCCTGGCACAAAGTCAGTAACTAAGAGGAATGACAACACAAGGCCTTATTTGATTATCTATAAAACTAGAGGTCAATGCACAAAATTTGTGCAAGAGTAGGCCTTCCTTCCCCCGGCTGCCAGCACCAGCTTCCCTCTGACACTTGGGACCCGGGCTTCCCTCACAGCCCCTGCTTCATAAGAAGGGTGTCCGGAAGGAAGGCCAGAAGGACGTCCAGTCGAATTAGCATATTACACGTTTATTATTACAGACCAGTAGAACTGACAATGTTGCAGACATTCAGAGGATAGGGGGTCATTTTAAATGTCCACAGGGTCAGAGAACACTTTCTTCATTTAGGCTCTCGAGCGGGCTGCCCTTAGGAACAAAGCTTCCCTGTCCTCTCCTCACACAGGTAAAACGTGCTTGGTCTCACCTGCTGACGGACCAGGGCGGAGCTCCTAGTGCAGGAGGACCCCAGGCCTGAGTCCTTCCTCTCTCTGAAGACCTAGCCTCCTGACTGCTCCAGGGCCACCTGCCCCCTGGCAGAGTCCAGCCTCTGCTTAACCCTTACCTCCTCCTGCCCTGCACTGTACTTGTTTATAGACACCAAAGAAACCCTCCCCCACCCCCCACCCCTTTCCTGTCCCCCTACACAGACAGTAAGGGCTTTATTTCTATTTATTTTATTTATCAAATGCTTATTGAGTGCTTACTATACAGTATATCGGGCATGTTATAAACACTTTGAGCATTAGCTCACTTAATCCTCATTATAAACCTGTGAGATAGTGACTATTCTTGTTTTCATTTGACAGATGGGGAAGCTGAGGCACAGGTGTTCTCTTGGTTAGGAAATGGCACTGAGAGTCGAACCCAGGCAGTCTGGCTGCAAACTCCATGGGCGGAACCACCAACCTAAGCTCTGAGAGCAGGAGGGCTCTGTAACCATCTGCGCAGCCCCCACAAGCTGGGGCCTAGTGTCCCTCTCCTACAGTCTCTGGTCACGTGGACATGTTTCTGTACTGAATTGAACTGGGCTGGTTTGCCAGACACCTGGCTCCTGACACCATGAAGGCCCAATTGGGACCAGTGGTTCCAGCCAGGACCCTTTGTCTCTCTCCTCCTTGGGGACATGTGGCAACTTCTGGAGGCATTTTTGGTTCTCACTACTGGGAAGAGGTGTGTGTGTGTGTGTGTGTGTGTGTGATACTAACATCTGGTGGTAGAGGCCAGGGATGCTGCAATAATGCATAGAACTGCCTGCAGCAAACCTGTCCGCCCAAATGTGAGAATCCTCCCCCAGAAGCCCTGGACGGCCACTTCCCTTTGCCAAGATGGTGAGAAACAGCAGGAGGCTGGGAAGGCTGACAGTCCCGTCCCCCCCCTCCAATGGCCCTGCCTCCATAGCCCCACACACCCACAGTCAGCTGCCTCCTGAATGGATTACAAACTCCCAAATGTCCTGGGCGGCAGGGCCTGCCCATCTGTTGGATGAGAAAGCGGGTCAGGGTTTCGGGGAAGCCAGTTCCAGCGTCTCCAGCTGGTTCTGCGCTTGCCAGATACATGACAGACGCCCGTGGAGGGTTCGCGACCTGGCGCCCTGAGTCTGGATCCCAAAGTAGGATGTAATAATTCCTACTTCACAGGCCTCGGTGAGGGTCAGCCAGGATAATGGCACGAAGCTAATTGCTCTTGTAACTATTGGGGGGGAATGAGAATTACGCAGGCCTAAGCCTGCCTTTTCCCACTTCCTCCAGGAAGAGAGGCAGGTTGTGTTGGTGGGGTAGGGGAACAGATTTGCTCAGCCCAACTCCAGCCTCCCTCTCTGGGAAGGGGCGGGGGATGGGGAGTCCCTCGGAGTCCCAGGCCTGCAGGTCTCGGGGCGCAATAGGCAGAAGAACGAGGGGTCACGGAGGCGCCCTGGGGCGAGATGCCGGCCCAGCTGCCTGCAGCCCGGGCCGTGTCCCGTCGGGCCGGGAGCCACCTCCCCAGACAGTAACAATTATCACAATCAAACAGTTGACACCAATTACGCACCGGGCGGAGAGGCGGCGGCGGCGGCTGTGCGGACGCCTCGGCTTTGCATATCTTAATGCCGACTGACAGATGCCTAGCCGCGGGGGCGCCGGCCCCGCCAGCTTTCCGCTGAGCTGTGGCACCGATTTTCAGAGCAAAATGACTGCCAGCGCCCACCCGCTCGTAGGCTGAAACGGCGTCCCCGGGGACGGCTGGCCCCGCCGGCACGGAGGCCCAGGGCGCGTGGCGGGACCCGAGCAAAGCGTCCCCTCGGTCCCCGCTGCCCAGCTCAGGGATTCCCCCCCCCCCCCCCCTCGCATGCCCCGGGGGATGGCGCAGGCCCCGCTGTCTGTGCTGCACGTGCCGGGCTCCCTCCGGGCCCACAAAGCACCTGCAGGACTGTGGCGGGGAAGGAGAAACAGCCCCGATTCCAGGCTCGTCCTCCAGCCTGGCCTGCTGAGAGTCAGGGCTTCCGTGAGGGGGGGAAAAAAAGGTTGGGGAGCAGTTAGCCTGGCCATTGGCGCCCTGTGGCCTCTTGGTCCCGGGGGAGGAGGCGGGTCACCTGAGGCCTCCCCCCGCCCCCCCCCAACCGTTCCCTGCAGACGGCCAGCCCAATTTGCATCTCTTAGATGCACCTGCATCCTATTTTCCACTCTTGGGGGGGGGGGGGGGAGAAAGAAGCCCCTTTGGAAAACTGACCATTCCTCTCACCCCACTGTCCAGCTGGGAACGCACACTCAGCAGGGCAGGGGTCCCAGAGGAGGGGCAGGGGGAGTGGCGCTGGGACTGGGACCGGAGGCTCTGGCCCCCTCCCTCCTCCCAATGACGGACTCTAATGTGGCAGTTGTGGGCCCTGCCCCGGGGCTGCCAATGCTCCGGCCCAGCCATGAGGATGGTGCAGTGCCCAGGGCACGGTCCTACTTGGCAGACGCGGCCCGGGGACCCCGGAAAAGTCCCAGCCGCGCTTCTGGCCTGGGCGCCTCGGCAGGAAGCACCATCTGCGCGGGGAAGCCGCGCCCGCCTGCCTTCTCCTGGCCCCGCTATCCTGAGTCCCTGGCTTAGGTGGGGGCGCCCCGGAACCCGGAGTCCGGGCTCCTCCTTTAGGACACTGCGGCCATGAGGCTTCGCCTTGAGGTCACAGGAGCCGGCCCGCCCTCTGCCCCGGCCTGGGAAGCGCGTTAGTCACCCCCGCCACGCGCGGCGCCGGCCCGGGCGGCCAGGCAGACGCAGGGGAGGGGTGCCAAGCGGAAGCGGGAGAGTTCCCGCCCTGCGCCAGGGCGGAGAGGTGGTCCGGCCCTCTGCTGGGCCGCGGGACACCTCGGGGACCCCCCGCCGGCCTCCACGGGGCGCCGGGCCAAGCGCGCAGCCGGGAGGATGCGCTGTCCCTTCGCCGCGCCCCGCGCTCCCCGAGGCCCAGGCGACATTAACCCGTTAACCCGGCGGCGGGCAGCGGCCCCGGGCCCGGGCGGCGGGCGGAGGCTGTCATCGGCGGCGGGTGTCAGCAAGTGCACTGCGCGGGCCCTGAGAGGCCGGGCCGGCTTCCTGGGGATTAAGGATCAGACACAGGGAGCCCTGTTCTCTCCTTCTCCCCCCTTCCCTACCCCAGGAACAAGAAAAAGAAAAATCTGTTGGAAATGCACTTTTCCCCTTGCCACCCCCTCCTCCCCCCGCCCTCCTCTGCTTTCACCGACTTAAAAGAAAAATAAAATACATTCCAGGAACCAGGACGGCTGCACAGCAAACTCAAACCAGAAAATACTTAAAGATGTTTTAATGACTTAAACACAGGGGCCGGTTTGTGTCTAAAAGTTTCCACATTAAAAAAAAAAAAGCAAATTCAATATTAAATATCCGTCCGCTGCCTCCTGGGCCCCGCCGCGGGCCCTCCCCGCCCTCGGACCCGGACCCGCAGCCTTCTGGGCGGCTCCGCCCGCCTCTCCGCGCACCTCAGCCTTCAGCTGCGGGCGATTAGCACCCAGTGTGAACAGAGACCAGGCCCTCCATAAAGTTTATATTCACATTCCAAAAAAGCGAAAAAAACAAGGAAAAGGGAGAAAAACAACACCCTAGGTGCAGGCCCAGAGGCTCCTGCAGGCAGAGCCGCCCCTCCCCCCAGCGCAGGGCGGGAGGAACTGTTAACTAGCAGCTGACAGATTTTTACAGCGCGA